TTCTTGTATAGAATTTGGCTGCACCCCAATACATTTCAATGAAATTAAGTTCACAGTGATATTTCGGATAAAAAACACACAAATGGCCAGCGCTCTCTATTAATTCTACAACAGCTGACTTTTGTGCAAGAAAGTCTGGTTGAGAAGCCATAATCTTTCTTGCACAACAATTTACACGTAGAGGATCATTTGCTAATTTTTTATTCTTACACACCTTGCATTCTAAATGCAATTCTTTTCTCCAAAGTCCCCTTTCTTTCAATACTAATCTTAACCCTTTCGGCTTTCCTCTCATAGTCGGATCCTCATAATTTTCTCCAAAAACTATTTGCTGTATTTTTTTATTTCCATTGGAATCAAAAAAAGTTGTTGATCGCATTACTGGTTGGTTTCCCCGGGTCCTAAATTCATTCTTGATACGATAAGGGCATCCTTTGCATATGCCGCATGGTTGGTGCTGTTATCAAAGGCAAAGACGGCAGTCATATTGGAAAACTTCGCTTCAAATATAGGGATTACTTTATTCCTTATTTGGTCTAATAAATAGTCAACCGTCCAATAGCTTTCTTGGTCTTTACCAGGCATGAAATAACAACGAGCCTCTGCAGGAACATCTGAGTACATTTCTACCTCCTCATCAGTCAATTTCAACCAACCACATTCTTCTGTTAGAAATTCGCTTACCATTATTGACCTTCCATTTCCCTTTTTTCGTAAAGGCATCTCACTATCATGTACTCAAATTCTTTTTTTTCCATTGTTTGAATAAAATATACATTCATCATGGGTTACAAAAATTAACTCTTGTTCCCCTTCATTAAGTACCGGTGGAACTTTTATCATTGATTCTCCCTCATATGTTGCCATTCTCTGCTCTAATGTTCTTAACCTATCTAAAAACACACTTCGATATGCTACAACGTCCTCTCGCTCATGTCCATCAAAATACATCCCCTTTTTATATTCCCTACATTTACATCCTAAAATATCCAACCACCTTTCCGCTGTTCGCAAACAAATTTTTTTTTGAAACCCTCCTATGCACTCTGGTAAAATATAATCGTTTACATACTGCATAAAACCAGTTGGACTAATTCCATTTGCTTCTGATTCCTTACGTATCCATTCTTTACACTGCAAAGCAATGTCTTCGTCATCAATGAGTCGATGGTGTTTTTGGTGTCGACCACATTGTGTAATTGGAAATGATTTATGGTGTAAATAAAATTCCGCCAAAAAGCGAATCCTCTGGGATGTATATTGTTTTGGAGAGATACAGACAACACATGCAGCTTCATTACTTGCTTTCATCTTGCCATCACCGCCATCTAATTGCATCAAATATTCACAGACCGCTCGTCGTTCATTATATTTAATAGTTGTTAAATTTTTTTGATTCTTTGTAAGGTCTTTCTTAAGTTGTTCGATCCTTTCATGAAGCATAAATTCATCATTCATATCCTCATTCGAAAGAGACACCAAGGGCGTAGCCCTGCTGAAAAACTCACTTGCCCAGGAAGTCATAGGAAACATAGGAAATGTGGAAGGTATTGAAAGCCTTCTGGGCAACTCGCTTAATGACAATAACAATAATTAGAACCTTTTACATATACTAATTACGCAAAAACCAAAGACACCAACCTTGCAATCCTAAAAAAGTCAGTAATTTGACAGGTTCCTTTGGCGGCATTTGCAAGCGTACTGGAAGCACTGAACTTACGATAATATGTTGATTTCGGTAATCCTTTAATTATCCTTGCATTTTCCTTTTTATTTTTCTCCCATATGATTGTTGGGGCCGTCATTGCTTCTTCATCAAGTTCTTTTCCACTTTCTTCATCAAATTTATTACTTTCAGCAAATATGTCCTCACTAAAGACATCTTCAGCAAAGACATCTTCACGGATATCTTCAGCAAAAAAATCCTCCGCCCAGACATTGTCTTCAGCAAAATTATCTCTTCAAATATCCGAAACTTCATTTCGTCTTTTTTTGGCTTGCTCTCTTCTTTCATTGTTATATTCTTAAAGCATCCGAATCGTTTTGTAATTCTTTAGCTTTGGCATACTTTAGTGACGGTTTTCACAAGGTCAGATTAGTTTTTTCAAATAATGAAAAAAAAAAAGGAAAAAAATTTTTTTTACATATAATTTCTGATGAGAAGTACCCGAATTTTCTGATGTAAGGTACCCGAAAACAAAAACTTAACAGAACAAAAAAAAAAAAAAAAAAAATCAAAAAGAATTCAGATCCCAGACGCCCCAACTTTAAATTCTTAAATCCATGCCCCACATTTCCTTCTCAGGTAAGTTGTTGGGGCATGAGAATAATTTAATGTGCCCTTTAATATTAAAGGACTTT